ACAGCGCAGTCACACTTCAAACACACACTTGTTGTATTATTGCATGGTAAACAGCAGCCGCAGAATGCTACACACGCGGTGTACTAGAGAGAGAATCACATTAAACACAACGCTTGACACCGCAGACGCCTCGCATTACTCCTGCTGCGTGCGCGCACGATAACGCTTCATGATGCCTGACAGCTCTGAACTCCTTCCCATAATGCATTGTGCGGAGAGACACTCTGATTGATGACACAGGTGAGACTGCGCGAGGTGATCGAAAGTGTCGTCGCGGGTGAGACAAAGTGCGCGCGCGCGTTTGATGTTGATTACCTATGGAGGAAGAAATGAAATTTTCAGTTCTCTCCGTATTTAAGGAGATCTCAAGAGGCAGAGAGAGAGAAAGAGGGAACGGGGTGGAAGACGAGGTGACGCAATCATTTAAAAAGGAGGAGTTCTCCTCGTTCCTCTCGTGATCAAACGCTCCCTGAGATTTTATTCTGTTCTGTGGAGATTCGTCTGTGTGGTTTTGGGAATGTCTTTATCTAAATAAACCAAAAGGTTTCGCGTGTGCTTTAATATAGTATAACAAACGCAAACTTGCGTGGTGCACACGAGACGCATGCGGCCTACAGAGACACACGGAAGCTGAAAAGGTTTTTATACATGCAAGCAAAAAATGTGGATGTGTGATGTGGCCTGTCGTGTTCTTTAGTTGTGTGTTGTTGTGTGTTTTGTGGGAGGGTGAAATTCATGAAATTCTCGAGTTAAAATATTTTTCTCTTCTGATTTTAGGGATTTAAAATAATAAATGAGATGAGATTAGACAAGAAGACAAAAGAGCAAATGAAAAGAGAGGAAATGAGAAGAAACAAGAAAATCGGAGAAAAGAAAATGGCAAAGAGAAAACGAGATGAAAGGGACAAGAAGGTGAAATTAGAAGAAATAAACAGAGAGGGGAAGAAAATAAGAAAAGAGACAAAAATTATAATGAACAGAAGAGATTAGAAAAGATGAGCTGACAAAAGAAGAAATTAAATATAGAAATGAATATAGAAATAAGTAAAAGAATAAGACATTAAAATAAGAGAAAAGAAATGAGCAGAGACAAGAAGCCAGAAAAAAAAAAAAAACGATAGCGGAGATGAAATAAAAGAGGATTCAAATAAGAGGTAAGGAGTTGTGAGACGAAATGAGACTAGACAAAGGAAGAGATGAAATGAAAAGAGATGAGAAGAAACAAGAAAATAATAGAGAAGAGATGAAAGAGACAAGAAGAGCAGAGGTGAGAAAAGAATATGATATGAGCAGAGAAAAGGAAAAAATGAGAGAAGAGACCAAATGAGAAGAAACCAGAGATGAGAGAAAAAAATAAAGATGAGTTGAGGAAAGATTAGCTAAAAATTCATTACTAAGAAACTAAATAAGAGATGGAATGAGAATGGAAGAGAAGAAAATGAGATAAATGAGAATGAAATAAGAAGAGAATGAGCTGAATATGACAAATTAGTCAAAATGGGAAGAATCTAAAGAAATGATTAAATGAGAAGAGAAGACGCAAAATGAGAATAGATGAGACAACATGAGAAGATGTGAGAAAAAATTAAAGAAATTACATGAGAAAGAAAAGATGAGCTGAAAATGACAAGACAAAGAATTAAAATTAGAGAATTAGAAGAAATACGAGACTGAATGAGAACAGAGGAAAAAAGTAGAGTTGAGATGAGAAAAAAAGTAGAAAAGAAATGATAGTCGGTGCCGATAGCCTCGTGGGCAGTGCGTGACATATAGCACCGTTACGCTTTGGGCGACCCGAGTTCGAGTCCTAGCTTGCGGTTCTTTCCCAATCCTGTCCCCTCTCTCTCCCACTTCTTTCCCTGTCAATATATATTGTCCTATCCTAATAAAAGGCAAAAAATTAATATTTAGAAATGAAATGACAGAAGAAAAAAAGAGAAGAGATAAAAGATGAGCTGAAAATGACAAAAGACAAAATGAGAAGAGAAGAGAATGTGATGAGAGGGGGATGGAGGGAAGAGGAGAGGAAGGTTTCATGTAAAAGAGGGAGACTGAAGCTCCCATGAGACTCTCCATTAATTGTGAAATGAAGGTGCCCTCAGGCCAACACAGGGGAACAGAATCACTCACACACACACAGAGAAATATAAACACAATGACACACACACTCACAGTTACACATACTATAACACTATACAAATGCAAAACTATTCTATAACACTATAAACACAGAGACAAATCAAATGTATACATGTAATATAACAATAAAAACACGTATGTAACAAAAAATCACAGTGTAATGTATGTGTGGGTTTATTTAGCACTTTGGGCACAAAAGTGTCCACAGAAGTTACTGAAATCTGACAAAAACCTCCCTAATTTGGAGACGTTGTCAATGTAAAAATGATTCATAAAGTAAACAATATTTTTTATTCTACAAAAGATGCAAAAGTTTATAATGACTGTATAGTCATTATAATTAGCTTTATATAAATAAAAAATAAACATATTCAAAAAGCCTATGCTAAATGAATTTATGCTCTAGCATATCAAGAGTGTGACACTGGGATTGTTGACTGAGCTGTAAAACAATCAGTCCACTAGAGGGAGCACTGGGAATACAGTATGACTGACCCTCACACACACACACTCTCAGTTTGGGCCTATTAAACACTTCAAGCATTTCTTCTTCATATTCTAGACAGACATAAACACAAAACCTCTGACAAATTACCCAGAAAACACATCTCATATTAAAGGAGTGTTCTGTATTCAGTATGAGTTTACTGACACGACCATAGACTCATTTTGACTAATCTCTCGTTTCTAAAAACAACAAGGATAAACATGTTCATTCCATTCTGTCATTCGCAACTGTTCACATTCCTACATTCTCCCTCCACTACTCTAATTTCACTACATTGAGTAATTAAATAGTCCAAGTATTGAGTTTGAGTCCTCTGTCTCGGACAGAAAGACAAATGTGACCCTGGACCACAAAACCAGTCATAAGGGTCAATTTTTTTAAATTGAGTTTTATACATCATTTGAAAGCTGAATAAATAAGCTTTCCGTTGATGTATGGTTTGTTAGGATAGGACAATATTTGGCCGAGATACAACTATTAGAAAATCTGGAATCTGAGGGTGCAAAAAAATCTAAATACTGAGAAAATCGCCTTTAAAGTTATCCGAATGAAGTTCTTAGCAATGCATATTACTCATCAAAAATTAAGTTTTGATATATTTACGGTAGGAAATTACAAAATATCTTCATGGAACATGATCTTTATTTAATATCCTAATGATTTTTGGCATAAAAGAAAAATAATAATGACCCATAATAATTTTGACCCATACAATGCTTTTTTGGCTATTGCTAAAAATATACCCAAGCGACTTAAGACTGGTTTTGTGGTACAGGGTCACAAATGTGTTTATCTCAGTCAAGGATTACCTGAACATGAGATCTTGGGCAAGACACTGCACTGTTATACAAACCCGATTCCAAAAAAGTTGGGACACTGTACAAATTGTGAATAAAAACAGAATGCAATGATGTGGAAGTTTCAAATTTCAATATTTTATTCAGAATACAACATAGATGACATATCAAATGTTTAAACTGAGAAAATGTATCATTTTAAGGGAAAAATAAGTTGATTTTAAATTTCATGGCATCAACACATCTCAAAAAAGTTGGGACAAGGCCATGTTTACCACTGTGTGGCATCCCCTCTTCTTTTTATATCCATTCCTTTTTTACTCACAATTTGTACAGTGTCCCAACTGTTTTGGAATCGGGTTTGTAATTAACTCATATCTTTCATTTAAACAAATATGGCAGATAGTCTCTCTTATATATTAATCAGATAGATTTAAAGTACTATTAAACAGCAAAGAGATGAAAACATGAGGACATGAAGAGATGCAGCTGATTCCTCTAACACTGTCATTAACATTATTATGTACACTACAAGACTTTCTTTTCTTTTCATGAATAGAAAATTCTGGGGTTAAATACAAGGGCTGCACCATAGAGTTCCATTGTATATGCTTAACTTTCAGTATATTTTTGTTTTATTTTACTCAAACTGAGTGACAAATCAAAATATTGTCTGTGGTGATCAACATCAGGTCAAAGATGTTATTTACTGTACGATGTATTCAACCTGGAATATTCTTTAAACCATCAAAATGGTTTGTTCTGACTAACTCAAAGACAGCGACACAATGCTAAATATTAAAATGCTACAACCAATCATAGAATTGTGCAAAGACATCACAGAAATGTTTTTTTTTTGTAGGTTTTTGTTTACTATTAAAAGGCAGGAGTAAACACCATATCTTTTGTTGATGATGTCAAAAGTCATGTGTCCAAGCAAACTGTCTTCTAGCGTATTCATTTCTCTAATGGTAATATATTATGTAACCTGATGATTGTTTTGTGCATGTTGCTGGTAAATCAATCTTACGCTGTTGAATGCAATTATAAAATTGATCAATTTTCATGTTATTTTACATATTGTTATTATTTGATAATTTTCAGTATTTGATGCCAAGCACAATTTTGTTTACTTTTTTGTAAGCTAAACAATTTATTATTCTGTCGCCACGTGCTTGATCTTGATCTGGAAGAAAAACTAGATTCAACTAAACCCTTTTTGTTTGCAGCCTTTCCCTGTAAACCTTTAGTTCAGTGGCAGATGGTAATACTATAGTATTTTGTTACAGACAATGCATAATTAAACAGCTAAAAACATTCACATACCATGATATTTGCACGGTACTCTGGTATATAAAAAAAATACCACAGTGCACCTCCAAAAATACTGGTAGGCTACTTGTTAGTGCTGTACAAGTGCCGCTTCTTTCCCAGATTTCAGTGTGAATTCAGTCCTGAGGAAAGACAGTGTGTTTGACTCAAGGCTTCACCATGACATACTGAGGAAGAGGAGGAAAGTGAGAGGAAGATAACAGGAAACACACAGACAGCCGTACCCCGATGGAGCTGCTCTCTCCTGTTTCCCTCTCCGTCCGATCTCTCCATCCTGACAGGAGAGGCTTCAGGCATCTGCTGAGCTTCAGGCCACACACACACACACACACAGTGATGTCTAACCACATTACACACTCATAACAACAAATTAACGCTGTACTCTGCGGTCACGCGTGCGCATAACGAATTCAGCGTTGTGATTGTGTGACTGTGAGCGGTTCTGGAAACCACAAAATTCACTGATGACAGCATACACACACACACATATATATATATATATATATATATATATATATATATGTGTGTGTGTGTGTGGCCTGACGGTGGACTGAAGTTTTGCCGCGCTCCCAGGGATGGCGAGTGTAAAATGGGTTGCCGGGGGCGACGGCGATATGAAAGGTGGCTAATGAAGCACTTAGCATTTGAAGGCTAGCAGTGGACCGCGCCCGAGTTCCGTCAGTCCTGATTGGCCGACAGGAGGGCTAACGCGAGCCGAGTGGTCTTTTGTTGCTCGGCGACGAGCCCTGAGGCGACGCCCCAACCCTGATCCCTCCCCCCCATCAGCGCGGATACGATGTGACAAGATAGCGGGAGCAGAGAGCCGCTCTTTTCTTTCTCTCTGTACAGCCGGAGAGGTTGTGTGTGTGTGTGTGTGTGTGTTTATCAGATCTGCTCTAAATGAATGAGAATAAGAGACTATCTGTCTCTCTACCTGCTCCCCTCCTCGGCCCGTCTGTCTCACCTCATGTTTCATTCGCTTGCTCTTTGCCAACACCTGTCTCCCTGCATTTCACTTCTCCCACGCTTCCCATCGTTCTCTTTTAAACGCAATAACTGTTTTAAGACAGACAACGCCAGCTCCTCTTATACCGAACTGATGCAAACACGCTCATCCGGATAATGAGGAGGACTAACCCTAAACGGGCGAACTGGGACTAGCTGTCACGTGTGGGTTTCCTAGGGTGGGTTTATTGTTGAAAGTCACTTTCTATATAGATTGAAAACCCTTTTCACGGTTTTGCTCAAGAAAAACATGCAGTTCATATAACATGCTAAATGACTGTTAATAGTAAAACAATTATGAAGCCTAAAAAGAAAAAATATTAAAGAAAAAAAAACATACAAGAAATATCAATGTTTTGGCCAACATATATTAATATACAAATATTTAGGAAGTATTTATACATACAAAATATTTAAAAAGGCCACAACAATTTATGAAGAAAACTCTATAAGGCTTCAAACATTTTTTTTTTTTTTAAAGAAATCAATACTTATTAATCAGCAAGGGTGCATTAAATTGATCAAAAACGACAGTAAAGACATTTATAATGTTACAAAAGTGTTCTCTTTCAAATAAATGCTGGTGTTTTGAACTTTCTGTTCACCAATCCTTGTTTCCACAAAAATATGTTGCAGCACAACTGTTTTCAACATTGATAATAATAAGAAATGTTTCCTGAGCAGCAAATCAGCATATTAGAATGATTTCTGAAGGATCACGTGACACTGAAGACTGGAGTAATGATGCTGAAAATTCAGCTTTACATCACTGAAATAATTACATTTTTATAATATATTTAAATAGATTTTTTTTTTGAATTGTAATATTTCAGAATATTACTGGGGTTTTTTTTTTTTCAAAATAAATGCAGCCTTGAGACTTCTTTCAAAAACATTTAAAAACGTATTATGTTAGTTGGCAAAAACAAAAAAATATATATATATTTTAGCTTTTAACTAGATGCTTGAAAAAGACAAAATTACTGCTAACAAAATAATGATTTGAAATATTGACTTCTGTTTAAAAATAGCCATTGTGACATTTTCTTCGTGTGACACCTAGCCCCAGTCTCTCTTGAAGCCAATTATACCTTATATAAAAAGATGCAAAAAAATTTGAAATTGTATATTATTTATTAATCATTTTGCCTTTGAAGAGAGTTTTGTCCAATTAAGCTTACTTCTGGGGACAATTTAGTCTAAAATTCAACCCAAACTCACATAAACTCACATTTATGTCCAGTTGCATGAGCTGTGTGTTTGTATTTTCAGACAGGCAGTAACAGTGAAGCCCAGTGCAGGTCCTTCACTGTGTGTCAGGGCAGAGAAGTGGAAAATTAAAGCTATTGACAGAAGGAGTAATGAACCACGAAAAAATGAGTGTGATGGACAAACGACAGTAAAAAATAAAGAGAATGGCCCATTCCTCCCGCGCGAGGTACTTATGTATCAGAAGACTTTCTGTTTTATTGTTCTTGAGCTGAAAAAAGGACCATTCACAATGTCTTGACATTGCAGACAAAGAGCAATCAATTTCTGCACACACACGCATACACACACACACACACACACACACACACACACACACTCACAGATACACACACACACATACACACAGACGCCTCGCTGAGACCCGCCGCCTCCCGCAGACACCTGCGCTGACCAGAGTTGTGTTGTTTTTAGGTTATGTCCCTTAAAACACTTTCTCTGTCTTTTATGTTTATTTGTTTCTCATGTACTCGTGTTTTATTGAGTTTGCTATCGTCACGTCTTTATTTCCACGACCCAGCAGAGTCAACGTCATTTGAACGTCACAATGAATTTGTGTGCATGTGTGTCTGAACCACTTCCCGCTCAAGCCTTGATTTCGGTATAATTTGTAGTCTAATTGGTCAGTTACACACTTCACGCGTCGCACAAACACACACATGCTGAAGAGGCACTTTTGTGAAGTTTGCTGCTCCTCCCGTTTGTTTAGATTTGTGGATATTGATGTCGTCAGCCAGTTCTGTTTATACTTAAGGGCAAAAATCATCAGTGCTTTCATCTTTATGATTACAAAAAATTACAGACATTGAGAAGAGAGCAAGAGGATGAGAGAAGTGATAAATGAAACATAAAGATCTCTCCTCATCTATAAATCTATACATCTGCATTAGAGTGGACAGTGACAGGAGTCAGCGAAACTCTATAAGGACAAGTCGATTTGTTGGCAAAACAAACACAATCATTGAACTAAATGGCCTTCAAACTCAAACCATTATATTCACAAAATTACTAAATATGACAAATTACAACTACAGTGATTTTAGCATGTTTAAAGGGTCTCTTAAGTACAACGGAAATTAAATAAAAAACTTTATATTAGGTGTCTTTAACTTATATTTAACGCTAATGTTGTGTCACAGTCATTTTGACCTAGATAGGATTTTCTTTTCCCCCGAAAATGCTAGTTAATGTCACATTGTACTAAAACTTACTGACTTTGCACACACAGGGTATTTCAACTTCCCCCCCCCAAAATTGATAATTTTTGTAATTTTTTCCCCGGACCTTGTTACACATGTGGTGTTCTCAATCAAAAATGACTGGACTACAAAAAATTGCTTATAAATTTCTTGTTATGCTATATTATTAACAACTACTGGATTCAATCTTTTTATCAGCTTGTTTTCTTTCAATGAGCACAGGGTTTGTATTTCTTTTTAGTACTGGTTATAGGCCTCACTGATCTGACTTCATGCACCTCAGTCAGTTTTTGAGTGAACATTTCAAAAATTATCCACAAATCTTTTTATTTATTTATTTATTCACTCAAAAACTGAGATGCATAAGATCAGATGAACGAGACCTACGATCAATCAGTTCCTGTGCAAATTGAAAGAAAACAAGTTGACAAAATGATTTGAATCCAAGATTTGGAATAACGTGGCACAATGAGAGATTTACAAGCAAATGCTGGTCATTTTTTACTGGGAAAACCAAATTAGGTAAAAGATTCTCAGCACAGCTCAAGGGTTAAGAGTTTTTGATGCAAATGTACTTTCTGTGCACATTGTTGAATAACAGTTAAATGCATTATTAATAATAATCAAAGTAAATCATTTTCACTAATATAGTTCATGGTCGTTTACGGTTGCCATGCAACATGCAAGGTGAATCAATATAGAATTAATATAGAATCTCATTAAACTCACATGATGCATGTGTTTAGAATAATGAAGGTTTGCGTGAGCATGTCTGAACGTATTTGTGAGTGTGTGTTTGTGTTTACTGAGGAGCAGCGATGTCTCCTCAGCAGATGAGATCGGAGATGACAGGCCAACACTGCTCTTTGTCAGAACATGAGAGGGAGAGTGTGTGTAAAATTTTAATCTGGAGTTATTTAGGGTATGGAGGCGTAGTGAGCTTGTCTCTGGGGTCATGGGGGCTTATGGAAGAAAGTTGTTGCAGCAAACGGCACGAAAGTAAATGTCTGTGACAGCTTCCTGTAGCAAAACGAGTCTTAAAACTCTTGCTCGCTCGCTCCTTCTCATTTGGGGCACTCTGGATTAATAGTCCCTGTTTTATCCGTCCCATCATGCTTTGCTGTGTGCAGCTCAACTCTCTACACAGAAATCGCAGGTTGCAGTGTCTCTCAAGAGCAGGTTTAATCATTTTACAATGATGCTGATTAAAGTACACAAGTATAATAACGTCTACGGATTGATGCTGTAGAAGAGCGTACAGCAGTGGGGTTTAAAATAACGTTTTCAGTGTGTAAAAAATAATTTGTAAAAAATAAAAACCCCAAAAATGATATTTATTTTACTCACCCTCATGTTGCTCCAAAATGGTCTGACTTTCTAAAAAACTTGAAAAAATTTCAGAAAAAAATAATTAAAAGACAAAAAAATTATATATATACATACACACACACACACACACACACACACACAAATGTATATATATATATATATATATATATATATATAATAAAATTGTGTAAATTATACAAAGAAAAATGACATTTTTGGGATGTACAATCAAATGTTTTTTTTATTTTCTATTTTATTTTATTGTAATACCTCAGTGATTTGAATTCCTAATTGACTTTGGATGATTTTGGAATTTAAGGGAGTTTGGAATGTTTGGAATGAGGGTCATGTGAAGGTCAGACACTGCATTTCCCCTTGGTGACCTTTGAACTTTAAAGGGACCCATTAGAAAACAACAATGATTGGAGCAATGACCATTCTGTGATATATTCTGGGAGGCAGACGGCGAGTTAATATGGTTTGTTAGTATTTGAGTTAAAGGTGATATGGGTGATATATTTTGACGTTAAAATACTTTTTCCTACGTGCAGATACAGGGACTGGTACACACAAACAAACACACACACATATCAGTGATGGATTATTTTATGGGTCGGAGAACAAAC